CCCCAAAACCCCAAAACCCCAAAACCCCAACATTCTAAATTTATGATATAATAAATAATCAATTGAATTAAATTAAGATGATAAAAATAGATAAATATGGTATCACTATCTAATATATAATGATTGTTCAATAGCATCTTCAACATTTTTTAAAAAACTGTTCATCCATCTATAACTTTGTGATTAATAAGAATCTATCTAATGCAGTCTGCTGTGACTGGTTTATTCATAAATATATCCATTCCATAATCAGCACTCTTTTACTTGAAATTCTCTGTAGTATATGCTGTTAATGCTACTATGAAAATCTGCAATTCATCATTATATGTGAGATTCCTAATCTCTGAAGTAGCTTGAAAGCCATCCATTATTGGCATGTTGCAATCCATAAAAATAACCTTATAGTTTTACCTTTAATTGTAGCATATGCATTAATTAGTGTTGTTCATTGCTATCCTATGTTTTACTATGTCAACAGCTTCTTAACCATTCATTGCCTTGTCTGAGCTAATATTGAATTAATATTCTAGAATGGTCTGAAGAGTGACTATGTTGAAAATATTGTCATCGACTACTAAGACATCAGATCTTGTTCTGCATGAGCATGGGATTCTTGAGATCATTCTCTTTTTCTAAGATGCTTACACTGGAGGATTATCATATAGTTATATATCGAATTAACTATACTTGCTCTGAATACTTGAAGCTTCATAACTATCATCTATGTCTAGACTAATATTCTTATGCTCAACAAGCTAATCACTTTCACCATCATCAACTGGTTGAAATTATATAGTATTAGACCTTGCTGAATTTATAATGCTGTTGAACTTCACATCCCCTTCCTCCTCAAAGCAAATGACAGTAAAGTTAAATGTTGTTCCCTGTTCGTTCAGATTATCTGACACGCTAATCACTCCTCCAAGCATTTCGACTATTTGCTTACAAATATTAAGTCCTAGGCCAACACCACTTGTATTCATTGAATTTGTACTTTCAATTTTTCCAAATAGAGTGAATAGTTTAGACTTGTCTTCATTTTTAATTCCTATTCCTGTATCCTTAACTGAGAATTTCAATGTATTTATACCCTCAACAAATTAGCAGCTAACTTAAATATAACCGAAGGAAGTAAACTTCAAAGCATTTTAGAGGAGATTCAGTAGGACCTGATTAATTCTTGGGCCATCTGTTATTAACTCAGGAGGAATATTTGAATCAAATTTAACTCTTAATTCTAGTCCTTTTTCATTTACTGCTAGCTTGATAATGTCTAGGGCATCTTACACTGATTTTTTAATATCAACAATTTACTCATTCTTCCTGAATTTACCATTTTTTATTTGAGAAAAGTCTAAGAGGTCATTCACTAGGGAAAGAAGTATTTTACAGGAGTTGTCAACTACTTTTAACAATCTTAGACCTTTTTGATTATCCCCTATGAATGTCTTAATGCTGTCTAGTAGACCAGTCATAGCATTTAGAGGAGTTCTCATATCATGTGATACAGTAGCTGTAAGCATTTCGTAAAAATGATTTTCAAGTTTTAACTTTTCATATTTCATTATAGGAGTTAAACTCTTAATCATGATCATTCTTAACTAGTTGCTTTGATAAAATATTTTACTTTCTTTTAAAGTTACCAGCTCCTTTTAAGCTTGTTCTACTCTTTTTGTATTGTTTTCCAGCTCATCTATTTTCCTTAATGCTTCCTCGAAATCATCTTCAATCTAAAAGCATTATCCATCAGTAAATCTAAGTGGTGCATCGTTAAGACTATATTTCTGATTAAGTTTATTATCTTTTTAATTCAAACCATCATTTTCCTATCTATTGAGGAAATTCACAGGCTTTAGCATATTTGAATTAAACTTTTCACCCAGAGATTTCATATCATCTATTATTGCATTGGGGCAATTGAAAATCCTCTTGAACTCTTGATTTGCTAGTACAATCTGCTCCTTATCTTGATTGAATAGCACAATTCCTTCAGGGAAATTCATGAGGATACTTTATAGATCATTGTTCATTTTCTTTATTTGCTCCATTTATATATATTCTGTCTTCATTCTGGATTCATTTTGATAGCTTGAGTACATTGTCAGCAAAGCAACACAGATATATTGAATCATAATAGTTACTTCAGATAAGCCCATGTAAGTTGCATAAAAAGCACAAGTTATCGTCATAGTTACAGTCATTGCAATAGCAGTATATATCCACCTACTATTTGTAATGAGTCCTGATATCATAAAAAAAGCATATCCAATGACGTTACTCACAAGCCCTGGCGGATTATTTTTTGAAATACTGACATGAAACAAGTTTGCACAGAATGATATTGTCAGTAGTGGTGCATGCAACTCTGAAAAAATCAAAGGAAATTTGTATGCCAATCCCAAAATAAGCAAATGAAATACGCTATTTGCAACTCGTACTGCCCATTAATCGAAAATAAATATTCTTTGGTTGGTGACAGCAGAGACAATGTGAGCTATGAAAATGATTATTCTTGATAGAAATATTAGGCTGCTTATAATACAAATTTCCTTATTTCTTCGGAGAATATACTCTTTCTAAAGATTTTTGTCAGTAATCTTAAGCAGGATTTTTGAATTCATCTATTTGCTTATTTAATTGATTAAGAGTGAGTCTACTATTTGTAATAAATAATATTTATTAGGATTAATTATCAATGTTCTTCCTCTCTTATTAAACTTTTCTTAACGGGGTTTTGGGGTTTTGGGG